TTCTCTTCCAGACCATGTCCTCAAATTACCCAGCAGAATCTTTCTGAACTGGTACAAAGAATATAGTAAGCTGATTAAGCACTTTTCCTAAGCAGCCTATTAAAAAACAACAACAACAACAATACCCAAAACCCCACAGGGGAGTTTTTGGCATGTTTATCATCCTAGAATCACTAGCAGCCCTCAGTTTGTCCCCTCCCCTGAAATAGAGGTGGTCCTCACACTCTTCCACTCAGGTGAATGGGGTTTCTGATCATGACCAAAGGAAAATCAACTCCCAGAGAAAGGTTTGTCACAGCCCTTTCAATAACCATTGTCCCTGCACGTCCTATAATAATGCTTGAAATCAGACTGCACTGATCCAGTTAGAGGCCAGGATTAAGGAAATCTGCTTAGAATTGAATTGAGTCAGCAGAGCTACCTACTGCCAAGAGAAATGCATTCCACAGAGTGCCCTTCAGAGAACCTCTCCTTACCAGACTGCAAACCTTTGACTTCTTTTCACTTGATACATAACCATCCAGAATTCATTTCAACATGGCTGTAAATATGTGTTCATACATGTTCAGAGCATATTACTTACGCTTCCATTTTTCCTGGACAATATATTCAGTCTTACACAGGACTTTGTTATTCTAACTCAGGGATAAAAAATGACATGTTGTATAGTTTTGGTATAAATTGCATACATTCTAGATAATTTCACTGTATAATTTTATAGGGTTTTAAATACATCAGAATAATGAAAGAGTTTAAACATTACCTTTCAAATTAAAACCAGGTTTTCTGAGTTTAAGCCTTTAATAAAAATTTTAAAAAATGAGCAGTGGAGCTTATTCTCCCATCAACCAGATGCAATACAATCTGTCCCTGCTTTTTCTCACCCATGCTTTTTCTTCTATGCATTTGTTTCTCATGCCATACTTGATTTTATCTATGGCTATTGTATTTGATCTAGAAGGTTCTCTTACTACATATCCTCATGCATATGTGTTTGCATTAATATTATCCATCCAAGTCTAAAACTCTGAGGTGGAGAGCTCTATAGGATTGAACACAGTGGGTTTTAACTTGACTCCAAATACCTAAATAGTCTTTGCTCATCTACCCCCTAAGTATTATGCATTATGAGCTGAGAGTTTCAGGTCAACTAGTGTTAATAATAATAACTAATAGGAATGAATTGTACAGGCATCATCAGTAGCATCCTGGACCAACTAGACAAACTCTCAGAAATATTTGAGAAAACTGAGAATGCAGATTTTATTTTGACATAATATTTTTAAACTGGTTACCAGGGAGAGGGGAATTATCACACCTAAATATAGCTACAATATTGAAAGAGTGCCTTCAACATACAGAAATACAAATCAAAACCACACTGAGATGCCATTTCACACTCATAAGGATAGCTTTTATAAAACAAAACAAAAACAAAGCAGAACAAGTGTTGGCCAAGACAGGGAGAAACTATAATACCTGTACATATGGCACAGAGATATAAATGGTGCAGGTGCTATGGCACACAGTATGCTAATTCCCCAAGATGTTAAATACCATTTGATCCAATAATTCCACTCCTGGTGTATGCCTAAAAGAACTGAAAGCAGAGACTCAAACATGTGCACACCCATGATCACAGCAGCATTTTTCACAAGAGTTGAAAGGTGGACACAACCAAAATGACGATGGATGGATAAATGAATAAATAAAATGATATACACATACAATGGAATAGAATCTGACCTTAAAAAGGAAAGAAATTTGAAAGGGTGTTTGAATGTATTACCTCTTAAAATTCATAGGTTGAAACCTAACCCCCAAAGTTATGGTATTAAGAGGTGGAACTTTGGGGAAGTGATCAGATCATTAGGGCAGAGCTCTCATTAGTGGAATTAATGCCCTTATAAAAGAGAACCCTTACTCCTTCCATCATGTGAGTGCACAACTAGAAGACACTGTCTATGAACCAGAAAGTGGGCCTTTCCCAACATTGAATCTGCCAGCATCTTGATCCTAGACTTCCCAGCATGTAGAATTGTGAGAAATAAATTTCTGCTGTTTAAAAGATCCAGCTTGTGGTATTTTGTTATAGTAGCCTGAATGAACTAAGACAATATGCTACAACATGAATGAACCTTAAAGATTATGATTACTAAAATAAGTCAGATATAAAAGGACAAACATTTTAAGCTCCTACTTATATCAGGTACCTAAAATAGTCAAATTCACAGGAACAGGAAGTAGAATGATGATTTCCAGAGGCTGAAGGGAGGTGGCAATGGGGACTTAGTGTTTAATGGATGTGGAGTTTTAGTATTGTAAGCTAAATTTTAAAAAGCTCTGGGGATGCATGGTTGTGCTGATTATACAATATGAATTCTCTTAACTCTACTTAACTGTATACTTCAAATAGTTGAAATAGTGAATTTTGTGTTATGCACATTTTATAATGAAGAAAGAGGAAGCAACAACATCAACAAAACTTTATTCAGGCATGAACACCAATTAGCTGGAATAATGCTATTAGAGACTTGCAAATTGAATAATAACAAACTGCTCATTGAATTTTTTCTTTTCTAACTCAGTTAAAAGTGGGCCACTTATAAATTATGATAGAACATCATTACATAGCAAATATCTGATGGCTACAACTTTTTTCTTCCCTTTGGGAATTTGGAGGAAGCATATTCCTTCACCATCCATAGCTGCCTGCTGTATGTGACCTCACACACTCTCTGAGCATCCTTCCTGGGTGATCTGCCAATCAGTCCCAGGGCTTCATCTTCCATCTATATGCTGATGATTCCCAAATCTGTCTCCATCCTACAAGCTTGTTCTAACTCCAGAACTCAGCTGCTTGCTGGATCTCTCCACTCAGATGTCATTGTAGGGACTTCAAATGTCAGATGCAAACCCCTCTTCTCCCACACTTCCTCCCCCAGCCCTTGCTGGCCCTCCTCTGTCACTCCTCCCTCTAGAGCACCACTGTCTCCTTTCTTTGTCTTGCCAGCCAGTGCCCAAGCCCCAGTCCTTCTAGTTGGCTTCTCCTTCTTCACCACCCACTTCTAACATGTCAGCCAGCATGCTGTGTCTCTTTCCTGCCCATCACCCCAATCCCTCCCCTTCTCTCCATCATGGCTATCAGTGCCATTGCTCCGGTTCTGTGCTCCCCACCCCGTGTACCCCTACACTGATGCCAGAGCAAACTGACTAGTCTTGGGTCAAAATCTTTCATCTCTTCCTGCAAAAAGCCCATACTCTTTAACATGCAGCAAGGTCTTGGTTCTGCACAGAGCTTGCTGCTGTTTGGGGTGCCCTGTCCTCCACTTGTGGGGCACTCAGAGACCAGATATGGAGTGCCAGATATGCTCATTAAATCTTGGTTGAATAAATCATGATCATCATCATCAACATCATGATGCTTTTCAGCCTTTCCCCCCTTTCTAGCCTCTTCTAGCATCTTCCCTCCATCCCCTTCACTCCAGCCATGCTTCACTTCTTTTGATTTTCCTGGCAGAATAAGCTATTTCTGTCTCCCAGGCTTTGCAGAGATTTTAAACAACTGATTTGTTCAAGAACTCAGGTTATCATATGTGACCCTGCACCCAGTACTTCATCTCACCAGGCTTCAGATTTCTCATCAGTGAAACAGAACAGATATCTGCTTCACAAAATTGTAGTGAGGATAAAATAAAATACACAAAAACAGTTTGGAAATCCTATATTACTATAAAATGTTATTTTGTAGTTCACCAAAGCGTATTTTAAATGCCACCACTTCCAAGGAGCCTTTTAAACAACCTAAGCAGAAACCATCTGTCTCTCCCTAGAAGCCCCACCCAACAGCCCATAGGCCTTTATGACTTCTGTTACATGCACCTTAATTATCCAAGTTCATGTCCCATGTTTACAACATGATCACAAATTTCATGAACTCAGCAACCTATGGTTCAGCATTCTGTGGTTCTTTTTATCCCTTTGAGGTTTCAAGGGTCTAGAGAAAAAAAAGCCTGAGATTTGAGGAGATAGACACAAAATGTCCATGGGGAAGTACCTGGGAGGCTTCTGTCTGGGGTTCTCTTGAAATCAGGTATCCAGCCACCTGATGAACCTATCCACCAAAACCTCTGTGCCACACTAGAATGACAAGACCTGGCCCCCTTCCTCATACCCACACCTGTGCAGACATTGCTAATCAACTGTGGACTCTGTCTGCCTGAGCCTGGAGGGGACCAGGGATTTTTTCAACACGGCTCTGGGCAGCCATGACTAATTAATCAGCTGGCTTAAAGTCACTATGAGAAAGATGAGGGTTAAAAAAGAAAGAAGGGGCTGGAATTGTAGCTCAGCAGTAGAGCGCTCGCCTAGCATATGCGAGGGCTTAGGTTCTATCCTCAGCACCACATAAAAATAAATAAATTTTAAAAAGGTATTGTGTCCAACTACACCTAAAAAAATAAATATTTAAAAAAGAAAAGAAAAAAGAAAGAAAGAAGTCACTTCGGCTCTGGCAAGTGAATTGATGAGACTTGAAAAGGGCAGTCAAACCCTGGATACCATCTCATGTTAGGGCTGAGAGAAAAATGTCCAGCCTATAGTTACACAAGGAGATCTTGTCTCAAACTTAAAGGCCAAATATATCCAGAGGTGGTCCCCTCCAGAATCCCAGAGGCCCCTGATGAAGGACATCTCCAAGGCTCTTGGTTCCCATCAAATGTCCCCACTCAGTGCCCAATCACGTGTGTCTTTAGTGTTCATTTTCTCTTCCTAAAAAGGAACCAAGCATGGTATCTGCCTCCTCTCCCCAACAAAGGGCTTAGGTGGAATTAAAAGGGATTATGTTTGAAGGGGAAAACTAGCCTTTAATCACCAACAGAAGGACACACCAGCCTGAAGGTGCTCTGAGCGGTGTGTATGTCCGTCACTAACCCAAAACCTGACCCTGACCTGTTAGCCTCTGCTCCACGCCATCCCCTTGTCCTTGGGTGGTCACCAGCATGGGCTTCGCCAGACAGATACAACTATTGCTCTGGAAGAACTGGACCCTGCGGAAAAGGCAAAAGGTAACGTGTTACCGTCTGTGTCCTAGAAGTGAGGTGTGGAGCAAGTGAACAGATTGGAAGCTTGGGGTGCAGCGGGGGGAGGAGAGCGTGAGGAGTTCTGTGTTGCCATTTAGCCCCGAAGCAGTGTTTATCTGTGTGACTCCTCTGTGAGCCTGTGACCTGTGCCCTTCACAGGATGACATGCTGCTCTGTCCCTGGCCACATTAAAATATGCCCCTACCACACACACACAGATGAATCTACTGAATGCCCATCCCTGTCCCCACTCCCCTGGTTTTCACACTCGTCAGCCCAGTCCTCCATCTTCTGGAGTATCCACCCCACACAGTAGGGAGAACCCTAATCCCTGCAGAACAAGATCAAAGGAAAACAAGAATGCCCTCCACTAGCTCCCCAGCCCAGAGATTGCTATTCCATTGATTCCAGGAGGCACACTGGGTTTTCACATTTTGACAATTCCAAAACTGGGAGGCAGCTCACAATCAAGTTACTTTAACCAAACATGTTTTTCTTTCTTCGTGGTACAGAAAAATGACAGTTCATCTTACAACTGGTGGTGTCTTAGATTCAATGAGTATATATTCTGAGCCTCTTCAGTTAGCAGACTTGGGGTTGTGATGTACTAGGGACGTAAAATCATGAGACACTAAGCCCCTGGACTGGCTTTTATGGTAGCTGGGGAAATCTGAAGTATATTTTAACACCCAGAGCAATATGAAGTAGCATTGGCCAAAATCCCAGGAGCCACAGGAGACCAGAGAACTCCAAGAGCATACGTATAAATGGCACCTGGCCTCAGTGCAATTTATCTGGGAGGGGGTGAGGAGTGAGTATGTAACTATAAACAATGCACTTTACCACAGCCTTGCAGAGTCCTACCAGTGACTTAAGGAGCTGATAAGTGGGACAAGGGAGGGGAGCAGGGAGGGCTGAAGAGAGCTGAGATTAGAAAGACTGAGCCAGTCAGCCATGGGAGGAAGACTGGCCATAGGGAGGAAGGGAACAGTGTCTGCCCCAAGCCTCAGTTCAGGATGGGAATAGGGGTGGGGAAGGGTTCAGGGGGAATGTTAGGGAAGAAATGGGCCAAGTGAATACCTTGTCAGAGTCTGGTCAGAGAGAGCTGAATATGGAAAGGTGTTAGCTTAGCTAGAAGCTGGCAACTGCGTTGTAAAAGAACTGAGGTATCCTGGAGGTAGAATTGCAGGACTCAGCTACCTCCTGGGACTGAGGACTGAGGACTGAGGGAAGAAAGTGGGATCGGTAAGATGGAAGCAAAGGCCAAATTCTGTGGAGCTGAAATTAGGATTTGTGCAGAGGCTGCTGCAGAGTCTCTGAGGCCCCCCAGGTTGAGGGATCCCCGCCTGCTGAGTGTCCAGATATAGGACAATAAACTAGCAGGAAGGGGAGCAGGGAGAGACACACTCCAACCATGCACAAGATGGTTCAGAGGCCTGTGTGTGTGTCTCGCACAAGACACAGGCCAGGGGCGGTGGGGGTGGGGACACATAGTTATCCTCAGGCTGTTTTCCTTTGTCAAAGTAGGTGTCACTTCAAATTATCCTTGAAGTTATTTGTGGCCCCCAGGAACCCAGACACTTGATCAGAAACTTGATTTCTTCTAGAATCTTCCCTTCTTGAGTGAAAATATTGGCAAAATGTGAACAAGACTCATTTTTCAATTTATTCATCAATTTTCACTTATTCTTTCCATCAACAAATAATTGTCCCCAGGCATGGTGCCTCGTGCTGAGTATACAATGGCAAATAAAAGCATCTAGTCCCTGCCCACCTGATGCATATGTCTATAGACTGCCATGGAAAATCCACTCTGCCATTTTTCACATTTTCTCTCTTAGTCATAATGAATTAAGATTCTCAGTTCATTTTACTCTCAATGTCCCCTTTGTGGCGCTCAAAGAAAACAAACCAGAGGACTGTAGCCACTGGCCTGCAATGATTCCATTGCTCTGGCAAGCACACTGTGGTTACAAAGCACAACCTACTTACAGACCCTGGGTTTGGCCCAGGTGCCCTCACAATCTCTGCTCTCCTTCCCTGCTGTTGGTCGGTCTCTTCCTGTTCTGAAATCTCCACAGTGTGCTCCCAGGGGATGGAGCCGTGCAGGCCAGGAACCTTGGTTCAGGGTCATCATTCAGGGCTGGACATAGGTCTGGGTTGAAAGTCATCTGATGCCATCCTAATGTCCTGGAAACAGAGATCTCTGGTGTGCCTCAAGTTGGCTACCATATTCCAGAATTTTCCAGGATTCCTGGGTAAGAAGGAGACATTCATTATCTCTGAGAGGGGTCTGTGTCTCCTGCCAAAGCTTTTGGCTTTTCTAGAAACTTCTGCCTCTAGAAAATGGTGACTCTAAGAAGAGTACAATACACCAGGCCATAACTTGGCTCCAAAGTTTTTAATTCCTTAAACTTCCATGGTTTTAAGTGTTTACTTTTGTGAGCAGAGTAAGAATGAGAAGTGAAAACAGATAACAAGTTTTCCCATTCCTCCACTCCCAATGCCCAGGGTATAAGAAGATCATTTTCAGGTCCTAGTTCTCCTCCTCCCCACACTCTTTTTTTTCTTGTTAGTATCTTTGAGAAGTGTTACTAAGCACCTGGCATAGTACTAAGCGTATTGCTTTATTGAATCCTCACAACAGTTCCAGGAGAGCGAGCTTGATTTTCCCTGTGGGTCCAAATGAGGCAATTGAGACCTCAGGGAAGGATTGATTACTGGTTGGCTGGACCTGGGATTCAAACCATGACTCCAGGACAGCAGGCATGGCCATCTCACTGCACTGTCCCCTTGTAACCAGCACTATCTAATGGGTAGGGCATAGAGATCACCAAGATGAGTGCAGACCATTTATCATCCACCAGAACAATAAATGTAAGTTAATACTGGCCCTGAACCAAGGTAAACTGGGCATGGCCCCTGCCCTCATGGAATTCAGAGCCAGGCAGGAAGATGTTCCCATGCTTAATTACTAAGCAGAATCCTGAGTGCAACTATGGAGTTGAAGGAAGTCCCCAGCTGGTGTGCGGGTAAGCTCTGGGAGCTCAGAGGAGACCTTGGGTGAGAGGCTAGACCTGATTTCCCCAGCAGCTCACGCTTCAGCATGATGAGATTGCTCCCACTGCATGAGACACACACACGATGGCCCATACTGGCTGTGGACCAGGCAGAGCATCAGAAAGGTTTATAAAGATGACTAGTTATGTCTCTTGGCCCTGAGAGCTCACAGCCTAGGGCTCCATGGTGTCTGTACCTGGTCCTACCTTCCAGGTCAGGACAGGAGGATATTAGGGGAAGACCTGAGGGCTCATGGGAGTAGGGTGATCATCATTTCATGGACTCCAGACCTGGGCATCTGTTGTGGCCTTCAAGTCTGGGGGTAATAGGAGGATCAGTGTCAAGGGAAGAGAATGTGACAAATTCAGGAGGCTGGGCAGTCAGCTCCCAGTGCAGCAGCCAGGTCCTGGGTGGTATTTGACCAAGCTGAGTCCTGTCTGGGTTCTCAGTGCAGAAGGGGGAACCGTGCAGCTATTTCAAGCCCTGGCTACCCACTTTTAAATTGAAAACAGACAGGGAGGGAAGTAAATCTAACTGGCTAAGTTAAAATAACAAGCCAAACTCTGCCCTTGCCAGAAACCTGTCCTCCTACTAATAGATAGAATGGTTCCCAGAGGAGGAGAGGAGGTGGAGGAAAACATGTGCTTGTGTGTGAACATGCGCACGCACATACATACACACACACACACATAGAAAGGACAAGGAAATACCAATTCAGTAAAAGAGAGAGAGAGAGAGAGAACAAAATAATTTCCACAGATCCCTTCTGAACTTCGACTGGGTTTAATTAAAGTTACAAACATGTTTAAAGGGAAGGGGAGGGGGAGTCCAAGCAGCTCTGAAAACACGTTTTTAGTTACACTGTGGAATTCCTCCTTAGGGTATGCCTGTGCACAGTTGAGCTTCAAGATCAAGGATGCAGCTCTCCGGTGGGGTTAGAGCACAATTCTGGAGGAGGGAGGAGAGGCTGCTGTGAGAACAGACCTGTGCCTGGGCAAGAAATGGCTTTGTGCAGAAGGGAAGTGAGGGGCAGCCCCTCCAAGTCACACGCCCACACTCAGCACAGTCCCACTGACCAGTCCACCCATGTTGTTCAAAATTACCAACCACTAAAAAAAAAAAAAATTACCAACCACTAGACCAGTGGTTCTCAGCGTTGGCTGGATATTGAAATGACCTGAGAGGTGTTTTAAAAAATATCCTGATGTCCCATGGGGCATGACCTGAGGTCCCCATGTGATTCCAGCCTGTAGGACCCTGAAAGCTGCTGATCTAGGTTAATGAAGGTGATTATTTGACTTACAGACAGAAACAGAAGCCCTAATTCAGAGATGTGGAAAGGAAACCAAGCAGAGCAGTACTAGTCTTAAGGCCAAGGAAGGAAGGTGGATTCTGATCTGCCTCCCACTGTGATGGACTTTGAATCACAATGCCTCGCACAGAAAGGACACTTCAAAAACATGGGAGAGCCTGAGTGAGTGGAGGAGAGAGGGTGGGACTAGCATATCATAGAGAGATGAACTATACAGTGTGGGTTTCGAAATCTCAGCCATGAGACAGGGAGGCAGACTGGGACTCATCCCTCCCTCTGTGCAAGCCCTGTTCTGTGTAAGGACCAGGAGACAGTGTGTGGTCTGTTTCTCAGGAAGCTCCATGTTTTCAAACTGGCGAGTGTGCAGTTCCAAATCGAGAAAGGGAGGAGACTGGAATGGACATGGAGGGCAGGCCTAAGAGGTTCCAACGATTTTAATTGTGTTTTCTTGCTCATCTGTCTTTACAATGTGCTGTCACCTACAGTGACCCTGTGACACTTGTGACAATCCTATGAGGCAGTGATCAATGGTTTATATTTGTTGAAGATTATCTTGTGCTGGGCTCTTGATTTTATTATCACAATTCCTTTGGGTGGCAGGTCCTCCTATCACCCTCATTTTTTAAATGAGACCCATGGCCTGGAGAAGTTGAGCAGATTACCCAAGATCTCGTAGCTGAGAGAAGAGGCTGGATAAAACTTGGTCCCAGAATGATCTACTCTTAATCCTCAGTGTACACTGTAAGACAAAATAGTCCTAATCCGGAGATGAGAAAACTGAGGCCCAGAGGTTGAGCATGCCTGAAAGTGGCTGTAACCTAGATCTTCACACTCCCAAATCATCACCAGTGTTTAACATTCCAGACCATCCCCAGGAAGATGTCGCTCCATGGAAGGCAGCACAACTCACTTGGGAGAAAGCCAACATTGCAAACTATTGTCTTAGGAGGAGTCATAAGTGGAGAATCTGGAATGGTTGTCTCATTTCCTTGGTGAAGACACCAGAAACAACTTCTAGTTTCATACTTCGCACGTGTCACTCACATTACTATCTTGCTAAAACTGCTCCCCACCTGGAGGATCCAGAATGGAAGGCGAAAAGCCAGTACACACCTTTGTGGGGTGCAGTTTGTTCAATCTGCAAGGAAGTGCTAGAGCACTGGCCCTGGGAGCAGGGGACTGGATTTTGGCTCCTGTGCTGTCACTGCTGATGTGACACTGCAGATCACCTGCCCTTTCTGAGTTTCTTTCTTCATCTGCAGAATAACAGCTTAAAACAAAGTCTTTATAACCCGTGGCACCAAATTACCTGAAAACTTGCAAGAAATACAAGATCTGCTGGGGTCTACTGAATCAAAATCTGCATCCATGTATATAGCATCATCTGCAAAGACTGAAGCCCATTACCTCCATGACCCTTTATAATCAGTCTTGGGTTAATGCTGTTTTCCAAATTAGACACAGAGTAAAACCCAGCTGGACACAAAAGCTGTTTCATGGCCAGGTGTGGTGGACCATGCTTGTAATCCTAGAGCTTGGAAAGCTGAGACAGGAGGATCAAGAGTTCAAGGCCAGCCTCAGCAACTTAGCAAGGCTCTGAAAAACTCAGAGAGATCCTGTCTCTAAATAAAATATAAAAATGGCTGGGGATGTGGCTTAGTGGTTAAACCCAACCTGGGTTCAATCCCAGATACAAAAAAAAAAGCTGATTGTATAATAAATCAAAGTAGAGGTAGTATAGGAGCAAGAAACAGAGAAGAAAGTTCTTCAGGTCAATGCAATTATACATTATTTAACAATGGGACACATACTAGAAACTGCCTCGTTAGGAGATTTCATCATTCTGTGAACACCAGAGTGTCATTACACAAAGCTCAATGGTATGTCCTTATTATGCTATATGGCTCGATAGTGGTGTGTGTGTGTGTGTGTGTGTGTGTGTGTGTGTTGTAGTCTGTTTCTCCTAAGGCCATGGCAAAGGACACAAGATTAAACACAAGATTAAATCAAGCACAACAGAAATACAATCACGAGACCAGTGAGCATGAGATCTAAGAGATAGCTGGTGCTGCAACTCCACACACTGTCTTACAAAGAACATTTAGTATGGATAGAATGAGCTTCTGTGGTAGAGCACGTGCCTAGTACATGTGAGGCATTGGCTCAATCCTCAGCACCACATAAAAATAAATAAACAATGACATTGCAGTCTGTCAACAACTAAAAAACATATTTTTTTCAACAGAAATATTTTGACACCTTTTGGCAGGAGTTTGTGTGAGAGCAGGGAACTTTTTGGTAACGATTCTACCCCAAGACCCTGCACATGCAATAAACAATGATTGAATGAGTACAGAAATAAATGAATGGATGAAAGGAGTACATTCTAAAATAATGAAAAAAGGATAGTGATAAATACATAAATCATTTACATAGTCATTTGTTATCATTGTGAAGTATTACGTACCGCACATAGTTACATGTGCTATACTTTTCTGCAGTTGGCAGCACTGTAGGTTGGTTTACACCAGCATCACCACAAACTTGTGAGTAATGGGCCACTCTACAATGTTACAAAGGTGGGAATGGGAATTTGGAAGCTCCATTATAATCTTATGGGACCGCTGTGGTCTATGTGGTCTGTCACTTGGCAAAAGCATGCAGCACATACCCTACCACAAGCCAAGTCCTACAGCTAGCTAGACAGTGCCGAGAAGAAGTGAACATGTTAGTGCCACTGGTCTTTCTCTCTGTGTTTTGTTTCTCCAGATTCGCTTTGTGGTGGAACTCGTGTGGCCTTTATCTTTGTTTCTGGTCTTGATCTGGCTGAGGAATGCCAACCCGCTCTACAGTCATCACGAATGTGAGCCTGGAGCATCCTGGGAGACTCTGCAGGGCCTGTCATTCAGGAAGGTTTTGGGGGTGGGGGCACATGATGTACCAGTAAATAGATCCATCAGCTTTACACAAATTCTAATTTTTAATCCTACACATTCTAAACAAATATGTATACATAATACGGAAAGAATGTGCAAATCTTTTTTTTAAACATATACCTAAACTCTTACCCATTTAAAAGAGAAGAGGCTACAGATAGTTCTCTAACTTAGACCAATTTAAGTATATTTTTCTTTTTTTTTAAACAAGTTTATTATTATTTTTAATTTTTATTTATTTTTTTAGTCATACATGACAGTAGAATGCATTTTGACATATAATACATACATGGAATGTACATACATCAATCATATTGTCTAATCTATTCTGTTGCCCTTCCTATCCTCCCTAATTTAAGTATATTTTTCAATGAAAGAAAATTGATTCAGGGATATATTATACATAATGCTAGAGAAAAATTAGGTGACGGTAAGCTATATAATCATACTTACTAAAATATTATTTCTTGAATCCCTGATGTATCTGGGGACCTTTAATAAACCTTGTGGATGGGGCTCCTTCTGTACTATCATGCTCTTGGAAAGCTCGCACCTTCTGAAGAGAGAAGATGCCTCTGATGTGGAGGCCTGAAAAGTTTTGGAAACTGCTTGGTCCCCTGGTCCTGGTCTTTGACCTCTGTTCATGAGTTTCTAGCCTCCATCTCTCAGTCAGCCTCCTGTCCAGCAAACTCTTAATTCCCCACCTCACCCAGCCAGGAGCCATTATTCTGCAGCACTGCAGTATGTATGGGGGGTAGGTGCTCCATACACAGTTGCAGAAGGAAGACAGGGGCCTCCTCTCCTCAGGCACCAGCAGCCTGGTGGAGCCTCCTTGAGCTAACACCTCTGCACACCTCTTACCACAGAGTGATCTGTCCCCCGCAATTCCGTCCATGCCTCTGTGACAACATTTGTCTGTCTCTTCACTCTACCAGAGGTTGAGAGAACAGATTGGCTGCAGCACCCCACATAGGCCTGGCCTAGTTTAAATGCTCCTGCTTCTTAAGCTATGAATAAAGCAGAGCACCAGAGGGGCCCTGCTCTTTCCCCAAAAGGACCTGCTCCTAGGGCCTGTGTCCTGCTTGGTCTCCATAACTAAATCCTTCTTGTCTTCATTTCCTGTTTCAAAGGTCATTTTCCCAACAAGGCAATGCCCTCAGCAGGAATGTTGCCGTGGCTCCAGGGGATTTTCTGCAATGTGAACAATCCTTGTTTTCAAAGCCCCACCCCAGGAGAATCTCCAGGAATTGTGTCAAACTACAACAACTCCATGTAAGTACCAAGATGTTCCCCGCATGCACAGGAGTAGAAGCATGTGCCTGCACACGCAGAGCCTGTAGTACTGAAAGCAAGCCTCGTGGATTGGTGAACCCCTGACCTTTCAGGGCCCAGGAGGATTCTTTCCTGAAGCATTCTACTAGCTGGCAGGGCACTTGGGGAGAATATTCAAATAAAGTCCACATGGACATGATTTCTTCGTTCTTATATTCCCAAAATGTGATCTGGGATCTGATGACAATCCCTTGCTGTGACACGTTCACTGTCTCATGCTCATCCATCTTCTTGGGTGGACTCCCTGAGTGAGAAAAACTTGGTTCCCCTCACTTTTCACCCCAGTCAACTCAACACCCCTCTGTTCCTTTAAAAACCTTCTTAGCCATCTAAGGGCTAAAGAAAAAATGTCACAGATTCTTGTGAGGATAAAAGAAATCAGGCTTACATGGTGAAGTTTACTTCTTAGAGGGAAATGACCAATTCCAAATCCTCTGTTATAATTGCCACTGGTGCCTTTGAGAGGCAGGATCTTGGGATATGGCTTGAGGGTAGTGATTCTTAAACTGGGGGCTAAAGACCTTTCCAAAAAGCTGATGAAAATAGATAAGTCCTCTCCCACAGAAATTGGAGCCAATTGGAGCACAAATCTCGACAGACATTGTGTGTGTGAGCTCAGGGAACTTGTGGAGTCCAGGTTAATAATTTCTGGTCTGAGGTTGAATTTCAAGTCAAATCCCTTAGGATGACAGTTTACCTTTGAAATTCCCTCTTAGAGTACTGGTAGGACATAATGTGGGCATAACCTATACACAGAGGCTCAGGAATATGGACAGAACCATCATCCATCTGCTGTTTTGACCTTGAGCTGCACCTTGCAAAGGTTAAATCTGAAGATCACCTACAAGAGCTTACAGGGGATTGGGCTGGATCCTATTCCTATACATACCAGGTCAGATGGAAAGTGAGGTATTTGGTGACTTCAGTTTTTTTATTAGAAGATACCTTAGTCAAATTTTCATTACTGTAACCAAAGAGCCCCACACAAACAAGTTGGAGGAGGAAAAGTTTATTTTGGCTTGTAAAGTTTCAGTCCATGGGCCACTGGTTCCATTGCTCTGGACCTGAGGTGAAGGGGAACATCATGGTGGAAGGACATGGTAGAGGGAAGCTTCCCAGGTTGTGGCAGCAAAGGGGTGGGGGTGGGGGCTGGGAGAAGACAAACCCTTCCAGGGCATATCCCCAGTGACCTACTTCCTCCAACTAAGTTCCACCTAATTGGGATTGGCCCTAGCCATGTGTGTGTGTGTGTGTGTGTGTGTGTGTGTATGTGTGTGTGTGTGTGTGTGTGTTAGTTACTGGGGAAGACTGAGGGGTAGGAGTTGGGAAGGGGGCTCCCGACTCCACCTGTTCTTGACATTTGAACCAGGAAAGCAGGATTCACATTTCATATGCACATTATAGATGAAATAATGACTTATTCAAGGTATTTTTACTTGCAAGGCACAGAACCCATTCCAATCAGCTTAAGGTCCAGAAGAAATACATGATTTGGATACATGATTTAGACCTTCTCACAAAGACAAGGGTAAAGGCAGGCCACAGGAGAGGAGGGGCAAGAGCTGGAGAGCTGTCAGGAGCTGCTTCTTCAGCTCTTCCAGACTGAACTTTGAGGTCCAGCGTCTCGATCTGTCTCTGTTCATCCACACACCTCTCTCCATGGACCAGTCTCCCCTCCTCCTAGAAGGCCAGGCTGTACCAATCACCCAGTTCACAGCATTTTAACTTGAGCAATCAGAAGAGCACCCTGAATCCTGTTTAAGTTCCTGGGAATAACTTTGGTTGTCTCAACTTTATTCTCCCTGTCCAATCAGCCTTAGTGAAGGGGTGTGTGTATGTGTGTGTGTATGCATGTGTACACACATATACAGGGAGTTCCTTGTGGATGAAGCATGGCTGTCAGAGCCTACCCCCATAAATGGATATGGGGTAGGTCTCAGAGAAGTGGGAGAAGGCTGGAAGAACCTCCAGTAATATTCACCAACATCAATATTCTAAAAAGCTTTACCAAGTTTAAAGTTACTCAGGACAAGTGATGTAGATAGCATGGGGTTAACAAGTTACCTGGCCCTGCCCAAACTGGAGGACTGGACAAATCACTCACTATCCCAATCTGTTGTCCTACATTTGCAAGAGAGTAAAAAGAAAAAAGAAAAAAATTCTCTTTTTTCCTTTTGTCATGGCAGTATGGTAAATAGACATAACATAGTAGCTAAGCACCCTATTTTAACAAATAGCCCAAGGTATTAATAATATTATGAAAATGACAGTTATTTTTTTATTGATGAGGTTTTGTTCTTACAGCTTGGCAAGAGTGTATCGAGATTTTCAAGAACTCCTCATGAATGCACCAGAAAGCCAGCACTTTGGCCAGATTTGGACAGAGCTCCGCACCTTGTCCCAGCTCATGGACACCCTGCGGAATCACCCTGAAAGAATTGCAGGTGAGCTGGGCTTCAGCGTTCTCAACGTTTGCTGGCCTCACACCTGCCTCACCCATCTAGGAGAAAGGGAGGAATTTGATAGAAAATGATACTGGAGGAGGCAGGAAGAGATGGGCTGCAAAGGCTGATGAGAATTGCCTTGTTGAAAATGCCTGTTTCTCTGCACCAGCCTAGAAGGTAGGAAGTTGGGCAGGAGGGCTCCAAGGGTCCCATTCCATGTGAATCCAGAGACAAAAAGAAAAACACTGAGAGAGATGGTGCTCTGAGAAACACAGGTTGAATCAAGGGCTAGACGCTGGGGAAGAGAGATTTGCTGAGTATGGTAAGGTGTGGAGTCCCAGGGTGACAGCAAACCAGAAACTGTGGCAATGCTAAGGAGCACTGAGGAGCAGTGGAGGTCACAGACCACATGTTTACCACGACATTAAAATGTACAATTGTACAATTTTCCCAGTGATATTTGGCATCCAGGCCCTGAGCCAGGGCAGGTGGAGAGCTGGGTAATGGAGCTTGGGAAGAGGCATCAGAGGAGGTCAAGGAGGCAAGGAGGTTGAAGAAAGTGATTGTACTATATGCACCAGGCCCAGGCTGCAGAAGGATCCTTGAGAAGTCACAAGTACTGAGAGGAGCTGAGGGAAGGGGATAGAGAAGCAGGGAATAAAGGTCTCGGTGCATTCCATGACCCTCTTTAAGTGACTGAGAACATGAGCAAGATGAAAGGATTGATAATTAGAGAGTGAAATATTCAACTTTAAGATTGTGAAGGCTGCCAGGCAGGATAGGTGAGAATACGAGCCCAAGGGTGACCGTGGGTCAAGTGCAGCAGAAGAAAGGTGCATGGTGAGGGAAAGGCAAAGGGCAGGGAGGCCAGGCTGTGGCCACCATGCAGACACAGAGGTCGTACAGGAAGAGAGGAGGAGCTGGATACCCAGGTAGGAAGCAACAACAGGGAGGAGGGATGGAGGGGCTCCCTCGGGGGTCTCTACTCCCCAGTGGAAAACAAGAAACAAACAAAAACCCAACAACAGTATCAAGAGGCTGCCTCTTCTCTTTCCACTTGAAGCCTTTCTTGCCCGTCATACCCCATTCCCCTTTGTCCACACCAGTGTCCTGAGCTTGGAGCCTGAGCTGAAAGTACAGAAACTCCAAGAAGGGTCCTCTACCCCATGACAACTGCACTATGGACAAATGACCTATCTCCTCCAATCCTAGACCAGGATTTCTCAACCTCAGCACCATTAAAATTGGGGGGCCAGATAATTCTTTGTTTGGAGAGGAATTGTGCTATGTATTGTGGAATGAGCACTGCCCCAGCTGTGACAACTAAATTTATCTACAGATATTGCCAAATATTCCCCAGGGACAAAATTGCCCAGCTCTACCTCCTCCACCCCTCATCCCCTGTTGAGAGCCACTGTCTGCACCAATCCCACAAAGCATCTGACACCCACCCTGGGCTACCTTTCCCCACCTTCTGTGCCTTCCCACTGAACTCTGTCCAGCTGCCTCCACAGTAGATACTGTGACTGTGTTGGTGATGACCACAGGCAAGAGGCTGGACCTCCAGCTGCTCCCAGAGAACCCAAGAATGGAGCATTATCCTGAGTGCCAAGTTAGAACATTTCCCACCAGCTCTACCTATGTTCCTTTTTTTGACCCATCTCCCCTTCAACACCCTATTATTTTTCTCATTAATACACAGGACGAGGAATACGCATTCAGGATATCCTGAAAGATGAAGAGACGCTGACCCTATTTCTTATTAAAAACATTGGCCTGTCCAGCTCAGTTGTCCACCTACTGGTCAACTCCCAAGTCCGTGTGGAACAGGTAGGTGGGTGTCCTTGGTCAGTGGTCTCTGGAGGGGAGGGGTAAGCACTATGCCTACTAAGGGAGACCTCTGCTTTTTCTATTCTTTCTTGCTTTTGTTAGACCACAATGCAAAGAAAAGACCACCAACTCCAATTGAAATCAAATTAAAGCAAGCTTATAATTCCAACTGGTCAGGGCTGTTCTCTCCCCGAAAACCACGGGAACAGAAGACAACCCTGCAGCCTTCTAGGAGTACAGCTTTATAGCACAGAAAGTTACACAAATGGGGGGGGGTAGGTGTTGAGAACTTACAGATAACAAAATTGTGACAAGCATAACACAAAAGTTAGTTAATAATTTAGCTGGTCCCGACATCAGAATTTATGAGGCATCATTGGGGCTTCAGAGAGGGTCGTTATCTGGCTAGGGAGAGCCAGAATTTATGAGGCGCCACTAAAGTTTTGGAGAGGGTTGTTATCTGGTCAGAAAAAGCCGGGCATGGGTGAGTTCAAGGCACGGGCAGGTATTCCAAGCAAATTTAGAAATCGCAGTAATTTATACTAAAGTCGAAATTAACTTTTCATGTCTTTGTGGCAAGATGGCTCCTGATCTTAAGAGGGAATTAGGCTGGGTTTATCACTTTTACATTCAGCATCCATGACTGATGCCCTATATTTGGAAAAATACCTGGGGGTCATTGAGATGACCAGATCTGAAGCACACATGACCTCACAAGATTTAAAGCTCAGCAGGTTTTCATAACTGGGAGGAAGCTAAGCCATCCTGAGGCTCAACCTCCCCTGTAGGGGCTAAGGAAACGGAGGTCTATTCATTCCCTAATTAAATATTTAGGGACCGTTGTAGGGACGTAGAATACAGTGTGAAGGAGGCAAGCAAAGCCCCTGGCTCAGAAGCTCACATTCCAGTGGGGTGATTGGAGGTAGTCAGACACAGAGACTCTGGCATGTGTCTCCAGCTTGTCAGGAGCTGTAGGGAGGGGACAGAAGGGGTATGGGAGGGAGAAGTTTAAGAGGGATGGTCAGGGAAGCACATTCTGAAAGGTATATTTGAGCAGCCCTCCTGAAGAGAAGGCAGTGTCTGAAATATCTTCAGCTCCTGCTGAGAATGGGCAGTGCAGTTTCTGTGGACTGAGGTCACTCTTCCTATGGTACAGAATCTGATGATGGCCACAGAAGGGCCAATCTCTGCTTTCCTGGGCTGCTCTCTTCCTAGTACCAGGCAACCTCTTCTACAGTCCTAGCACATTACTGATCTATACCTCTCCAAATTTGTTTCATGAATTTTAATAATTTCCTATGTCTAATATATTTTATATTTTTTGATATAAGTCAGAGTATCATTAGCCTTAAACTGTATACAAAGGCCTCGTATAGTACAAGAAGAGACTTACTGTCTTTAGTTGGCCGGAAAAATTGGCAAGAGTTACTTATTAGGCATGTCAAAGCCAATATTATTGAGTTCAAAAGGTATTATAGTAAATGGAAGCTTAATTTTTATCAAATGTATGATTGGCCTCTATAAAGGTATATAAGACATAAATAGATATCTTTTTAGAATAAGAATTATATATGTTGGGCTGGGGATGTGGCTCAAGCGGTAGCGCGCTCGCCTGGCATGCGTGCGGCCTGGGTTCGATCCTCAGCACCACATACAAACAAAGATGTTGTGTCTGCCGATAACTAAAAATAAATATTAAAATTCTCTCTCTCT